GTCATCTTCTTTTGAATTGTGACATTTCCTCATTTCATTTTAAGCTTGGTATATGCCTGTGAGCACTGTTTCAGTAACTTAAAGACAAGTTTCTTATTCTTGATCACTGTTTCCCTAAAGAGAAAGGGGATGTATTGATGTAACCAACTGAAGATCTGGCCTGTACATGCACACAACCTTATAAATTTAAATAAAAATTCAGTGTCTCTTGTGGGAGATGATTTTAGACATACGTCTTCAGTCATTGCTGCATGGTAACACATTTGGACTGGTGTTCAGCACCAAAAAAATGGCAAAGAGCTCATAAGCCAATTTTTTATTGTTTTAGTGGGGATGATGAGAAAAGACCAACTTTTCTCGATGAGTCTATGAGGTCTGTTAAGAATTTGGAAAAGAGGACCATGATTTGGTCCTCTTAAACTTCTAGCAGTGTAAGCTTGACTGCATGTGGTGACTAAATGGCAAATCAGTAACCCTTGCAAAAAATGCTCAGTCTTTTTTTCTGTCTTGGAAATTAAAGATCAATTCATGTAACAGAAAAATGACGATAAATCAGAAATACTGATGCATGAGAATGGAATTGTAATTTTTGTGAGAAGATTGCCAGTTCGCAGGATTTAAATTGCATGCAAACTCTTTTTTTACATCTCTCATTTAAGAAGGATTGTCTTCAGGGAGGCTTGACTTGACATTGGCAAACTTCAAAGACATGAAAATGGATTTGTTGTTGCCTTGAAAGTGATTCACTAGCTCTTACTGTGCTGTTTCTTTTATTCCTAGGAACACCAGTGGGATGCTAAATTTACTTCTGTGTGAGACTAAAGGTGCTAGTTACACAGCAGCAGTAAGAGGTGTTGAAGAACAAAGAGGCCATGCAGAAAGACTTCTGTTTCCTAAAGAAAAACTTCTTATTTTTGAGATCAAAAAATTACAAAGGATGATTTTAAGTATACTGTGATGCCTCAGAGATTTTTGGTTTTTTTTAACTTTTGTAGATTTTAGAAGTAGTTGTGTAGTGAATGCAGATTTTAATGAGGCTGTATAATATGCCACCCTTCAGCACAGTAGTCTACACATTTACCCAACCCTATTACCCCCTTTCATATCTAACTTTCTAAATTCCTTAGCTTGTTGAGACTTCCCTCAAGGTAGGTCTTCTTTCTGTTTAAGAACATTTGCACCCTGGTTTGAACAAAAAGATACATCATAGTCAAAGCATCCTTTAAAACCCAGAACTTTGGAGGAGCTCCAAGGTCTCTGCGTGCTTCGAGGAAGAGGAAGATGAGAAAGAGGGGTTCCCAGAGACCCCTGCCTCAATTTCCAGAGGGGTGTGCTGGAGGAGGATCTGCGGAGTGGATAGAGCTGGGATTGGTTGGGGTAATACCTTCAATTTTATCCCTTGGGCCTCAGGTCTGAGATTAAAGAACCTACTTCCTTTATCTTATCTCCTGCACTAAATTGGTCTGGAGTTTTTTTCTCTGCGGTCTCTTAAGGTAACACTGTTTCACGAGGTTTTCTTTTTAATTAATAAAATTCATTCTAGAACAGATGTAAGACATTTGATTCATTTTATTATTTAAAACTTGATACTCATTAGACTAGGAGGTCTGTGTGCATTTAGGAGAGCTTCATCCTGTATACACATAATTTTGGAATCTTATCTCATTTTTTGAGATAATATAGTAATGTGTATTACTCATATTATTGAAATATAATATATATTGCTACTTATTGGACTTTTTCTACTTTTTTTTTTTTTTGAAAGGACCCTGCATATTTTCTTTTCTAAAACCTGTACATAATGGTGATTATTTTTTTAATATTCAAAGGGCAGGATTGCTTATTTTTTCCAAAGGTGTCACTGCTAGGTAGTATAAGATGGTGTAGTTTCTAGTATCTGAACATTTTGTCAATAAAAGTCAAGGCATGGCGTGAGAAGATTAGGAAGATAGTGTGAATTCCGAATTCTGCTAGCACAAGGACATTGTTCTTCTAACATGGCTAAGCCAACAATGAGTTTTCTTCCCTGAAGTTGTCTTTGAGCAGAGGCAAATTTTTTTGCCTTTAGCTACCTGGGAAGAAGTATTTGCTTTTATTTAATTTTACTATTTTATAATATATTTATGCTTATTGCAGCTGTATGCTTTGGTATGTATTATGTTGCTACTATATACAGATAAGCAAATTACAGAAACTAGTTCAAGAAGAGTGAATGCTTACTGTAAGAGAAGCATAACATCGATAGTCTCTCTTAGTTTAGAGACTGGAGATGCAAGAATTTCTGTTCTATATCACATAGTTTGCTTCTCTTTATCTGAGAAAAACAGGAGAACAGGTTGAAATTGCAACCTAACCCATAGTTTCAAGTGGCAATTTTTGAGAAGTGAACATCAATAATATGTTTTAGAGACCATGAGATGAGGTTTATAGGGGCTTGAGGTTAGACCATGAGGTTTATAGGGGCTTCTAGAGAATTTTTTTAAAATAAAGATATGTTTCCTGACTGTAATCTTGAGATCTACATTGACTTGTCTCTCTTAATTTTCTTGTCTCCTGAGCGGGGAGAGAAATTAATGTAGATATAGCAGATCTATAAAAAATACTAACATATGGCTAGTTGCATTGAGTAGTTTATTCATGCCTTGTCTAAAATAAATTTGCATTTATGGATTGGCAGAAACACACATATTCTTAGGATGCCTGTTAAAGTGTGTGGTACACCACCAAGGGCTTTAATGACTAAGCTGTCAATAGATATTATTAAATCCTAGGGAGTAAAAAGCCTCAAAGAACGTTGTTATAGTTTTATGAAGATTAGATTTTTGTCATCTTTACCTGAACTGGATTTCACTGTACTCTGTGTGTAATCCTCTGATTCCTTAGTTTGCTCACAGAGTGAGAGACTAAAGTATGGGTGGCCCTTAGGTTAGACATACCATGTTACTGTAGTCTGAGCTCGGCTGTTGACTGTCGTCCCTTCCTCCTGCCCAAGAAACTGAAGTGTTTCATTTAGCTTTAGATTACAAAGATAAAGAAGGCAAATTTCTGGAGCAAAGTCCCTTGCATTGTCAAATATGTAACAGGGAAGGGACTAAGCCAAGGGAAAAACCCAGGTTCGAGAGATTCTGGAACGTGAATAAACCAAACACCGTTGCTAGTTGGCAAAAATAGCTATTTATTAGGAAAAAGGTGGCAAACAAAGGAAAAGGAAAAACACAGGCGCCTGAGGGGAAAAGGATTGGGGCGGAGGAAAAAGTGCATAAAAGACCCTAGGAAGAAGGCTCCCCCCCGCCCCTATACTCACCCAGCTGTCACCTATTAACAAGTCTTACCCATCCTAACCAATAATGAGGTCTCTCTGCAGCAGCTGCGGGTTCATGGGGGGTGGCAGGCTCCCACTTCAAGCAGGCATCCCCGCTGAAAGCAACTTGGTCCACCGTGAAGAGCCGGCAACCCCCAAGAAGCGTCTCTGCTTTTTATAAAGTTTTCTGAGAGCACCTGCCCTGGAGAGGTGTGGCCAGCACCGCCCCGTCAGGGCTCTGAATCTCACTCCCTTGGTTATGTAAGTGCACCCCTCCTGCGCCTGCGTGAGCACTTTGGAAAGTCCCCCACGCAGGCGCAGTGATTTTGGGGGGTCCTTTCAATTGAGGCTGTGGGTTTACTCCATCACCTTCCTCCTCACTTTGTCCTCCAACTGCCCCTGACGAGCAATTGACCAATCACAACAGACCAATTAAAACAGTTTACACAGAAGCTCTCCCTCCAAGGCCAAGTTCACTGCTTTATCAGAAGACTTGGCAGGAGAAAACATAAACTAACTGCAGGTGGCTAGGGCCAAACACAGACCAAAAAATACCATCCCAACTTCGTCCTGATACAGTCAGGGCTGCATCTATTATGGTCATTAAGCCAAACAAAAAAAATAATTCTGTAAAAATACTGTGAATTTCAAAAAATTATTTAAAATGTTCAATATGCAGGTAAAGAATATGAGATTGCATTATATTTTTTCAAGTTTTAAAATCTTATTGTAAGTAGAGGTGCTCCTCTAAACTGAAAAATTGGTAGAAAAGGCACTTGCTGACTGCATAAAAAATTGTATTTTAAAAAATAAGAATACAGCTGCAAATAGGCAGTCTGCCAGCCTCTGACGGACCAAACCATGCATGCAGAAGGTCTTCATACTATAAACCAAAACAAAACAGAGCACTATGTATTCCATTTTTTGGAAAAATACTTGGGGTTTTTTTGCATTTATATATGATTTCAGTTAGAGAAAATTATGTCTTGATTTGGCCACAGGTAATAACCCAAAGATTACCATTTTTTTTCTCCTGCAAGCAAAGGAAAAGAGATTTTCTGTGAATATATGAAATTTCACATCAGGCAAAACTTGAGATTTTCATTATATAATTCTCAATAATCTTTATTCAAATTGGTAATAATCTGTACCTAAAATAATACGTTATAAAATCTTTGTTGTTTTTTTAGGTAAAAAACATCATTTCAGAGAACTGAAGTAGTTTCAGAAAGTAGTTTCAGAAAAACTACAACTACAACCACAGCTTTAGTGTGCATTTAGTGGAAGCATAAGCTTCTCAGAAAAATTAGTAAGATGCTTTTTTATTTTACATATAAACGAAAAGCAGCTGAAAATCTGGCCAAATAACAGAAATCTTATTGGATGTAAATTTTCATAAAAGAATTCCTTCAGCAAAAAGCTGCCAGAATGCTTTGCATGTATCAGAATACTTTTCACTTATCAGAATGGTAAAAAGAAAATTATGCGGCTTCATATAAATTTTATCATTTCATTTACATGGTCCTCCTACATCTACAAATTTGCTATATAACATCACACATAACAGTTTTTATAATCTAAATTATATCATAATAGCTAGTTCAAGGTGATGATTTTGTTGAGGGCTATACTTCGTGAAAAAATGTTTGTTTTTCTAAAGTATCCTGTTGATGGGACTGTTCCCAAGAAGGGAGAGTTAAGGAAATCCCTGTAACATCTTTGAATGAAATGGATATTTAAAAAAAGCAAAGAGAAATCAATCCATCAGTCCCGAGTTCCACATTGGACTGCCTTGAATTACATCTGAAAGAAAACATTGTCTTTCTGAAGGTAAGAATTCACTGTATGCTACTTCCTTCTCATTTCATCTGAAATAGCAATTCAGCCCTTTGGTTTGTTACTTTGGCATATCTTCAGTTAGGTATATGCTTTTTTACCTTCTTTGAAAAAAAAACACTTGTATAACTCAGAGGTTTTCCTGAACATTATTTTTAAAAAATGACACTGGTTTCTTTGAAGCATTTTGCTGAGTTGTTAAGGACTTGTTGAGGTTAATTAAAAAAAAAAAAAAGGGACTGAAACTATCAGTTAGTTACTTGCTTAGTCTTCTTAGACTGTTTGGGAAATGCAGATGATTTATTTTCTATTGGAGACTATTTGTATATACACCATGTTGTACATATTAGGCTGATGCTTAATACAGTACGTTAAAAAACAAGGGTGTATCACTTCAGCTTCTAGATTCAGCAAATTAATTTTAATGCACGTACAGTATGGAACTTTAAGTGAAACTATATTTCAGATACAGGAAAAAAAATCAGGCCAGTAATTAGAACCCAACTTTCCTTGCATTAACAGCAGCCAAGTCATTCATTAAGTCTATGTAGCAGAGTAACATGGCAACATCACACTTGATTGAAATCTTGGCCAAGTCTGACAGATGTTTTCAACTCATTGTCAATCTCAAGTATGTTTTAATGAGTTTCAAGTGGTTGGAGCTCTCCTCTGCAGATGCCACTGTTACTGAAACCGTGAAAAGGATCTTTAGGGCAATGACAGCATGGAAAATTCTTTTGATAAAGTGATGTGTCAGAACAAATCCTTACTCCTTACTAGTAACACAAGTGAGTTAATCCTCATCTTGGTGAGGATAATCCTCATCTTTTCAATGGGTTGAGTTTGTGCAAAATCAGCTGGGTTTGTGTGAATACCCCAAAATAAGGAAGCATTTGATTCTTGAAAATAAGGATGACATTTTGGAAGAGAGAATTATTTAAGGTTTTCTGTTAATAATTGTTTCTGTATTACTCAGAAAAAAATTGTGGAACAATTAATTATTTTGCTTACACTTCTGTGTCCAGGTAGGAGTTGGAAGAATAGAATCATATTGGCGTAGAAACAACAAATTCTTTTTATATTGGTGAAGCAGAAATGATGCTGGACCTTCCAATTTCAATACTATGACAGAGTCAAACTGGATCAAGTGCAAAGCTGCTGATCATAGCACTAGTTTGATCTAGTTTGACAGTGGTAATGCACTGAGTTGATAAGTGGCATGACTGAGAATACAAGGGATGACTAAGGTGGTAGTCCCTTTGATTCTTCAATCTGATAAGGTTTATTAAGTCTTTGCTGGGCAACAGACCAAACTGATGTAAAATGAGTTTTGGTCAAACCAAGTTTTGGTAGATTGCCATGAGTAAAGTAGAACTACCTAAAAATTGGGGAAGGGATTGACTAAGCCTTTTTATAACAATTTTCTCTTAATTTTCCACCTGCCCATTTGTCTGTTCTTCCTAGATCTTTCTTCTTTTTATGCACAATATTTGCAATGTTGGAAGTCCAGTGTGGAGTAGGATATATTTTGATATTTAGATGTATTTAGAATTAATAAAGTTGCAAGAAACGAGTATGGAGAATGGATAAGTTCTTTTCATCCTCCTTAAAATGTTATACAAGAGCAGGTTTATCCCTGAGGAGATGATAAATTTTGAACAAAAACCATTATTATCTTTATTGGTCAGTTGGATGTGAGCAGCATTATGTCATTTAACTTATTTGTTAATAGCAGACTGAAACACCACTAAATTTCCCAGTGAAGTCAATATTTCAAGATTAATCATATTAAAAATCATACTGAACCAAAAAAATATGTCCTGGAAATTTGTCATTTAGAGGTCTATTAGTTTATGTGTCAATTGCAGTAATACTGAAATTTGAAACTAAAACTTTGTGGTTCAAACGCAGCTCTGTGGAGGCAGCTATTTCTTTACTTTTTATTTTTTTATTATTTTATTTTTTATTCTTATTATTTATTTTTTATTTCTTTACTATTTATTTTTTTATTGGGTTGTTTTGTTGTTTTCATGTGTTTCTTTGTTACCTTAGTAACCTCTTTGGAGGATTAAAAAATCTTCCTAATAGAAGAAAATATTTTGGAAATATGAAGCTACAGGCTCTTTGTTAACATAGTATTTGTGGACATATTTGTCAATATATTCTTTGCAGGAGTAGCGTATCAAATGAAGTTCAGTATTGCCCAATGTATGAACTTCTATTTTATGTAATGTTTGCTTGGAATTGACTATGTTTCACAACATCCTTTTAAAATGTGAACGACCCACTAATTGTGCTAGCTGGAAGTTTTACCTGCTTTAATGACTGTATAATGTCAGGGCAAAGAAGAGGGAATTAGTTGTGAAGAGAAGCTGGTCAAAATATTTTTTGGTTTTAGGGGTTGTTGCTTTAACAAATCATGCAATATTTTATCTCTGGTTTACAATAGTTCCCAAATAAAATGCTTTTTCAGAATCTTTTTGCTGATACTAAATCCACACAAAAGCACTTTTTGCGAGCAAGTTTGAGTAAATGTCTGGAGTGTACATAAAGTGATAGTATATAGACATTGAGAAGGAAACAAACCATAGAGAAGACATTTGGAATTGGATTCTAGTATATCGATATCAAAGAGGACTCAAATTAATCAAAGGACTTATTTTAGTTTCTTAAATAACTAAACTATGTAAGTAAAGAAGGACATATTTTCAGAAATTACTGTATTTATTATTAGGTGATTTAGTATACAGATTCGATATTATAATGTCACTGTCAAAACGTTGCTCAGACCAACCTCTTCAGGGATTTGGCCATTTGGCTGTTGCTTATGTCAACCTTTTGAAGCTGTGTAACTTATTTTTGGACTTCTCCTCTTCCAGCTTTACTGTTATCATCTGATGCACACCCTGTGCATGGCTGGGGAACATGAGCATGAACAGTACATGACCAGAGGTACTACATAAATTCATGAGACTTCCTTGCAGCCAGCTACAATGGAGAAAATAGTTAAAATGAGTTGCAGTAGGTTTGGAGGTAACAGGACAAAGAGGGGAGAACCGTGTGGTTTGGAAAAATTTGCTGATTACAAATTTTGATAATCTACTATAGAATAATTAATATCACTATTCTTACTTAATCACAACCCATCAAAATCAAGTACACAACTTATTATTTATTTTAACTTCAGCTCAAAGAAGAAAGGACAAATTTCCAATCTTTTAATCTGTTTCACTGCTCTGTTCACCTGTTCAGATTCTGTTAAGGTTTCTGGAAAGCTTGCATTAAAAATAAGACAAGTTAACTTACCTTTTTACCACCTTAATTCGGCAACAGGATATTCTGCTTCAGTTATCATGAAAGTAAGCCTTTGAGAAATCCAGCATTAGAAATATGGGTTAATGTTTTCATTGGAATAAATCACACTTTCTGTTTCAACTTATAAAAAGGAAAACCAGTTTTTTGCTTGAGAAGGCTCTGGTGCCTTTGAAAGACATGTGCTGATTAGTACTGGTGTATCACGAACAGGAACTACTTAAGGTAGAGGACACTTCGTATTCTTCCCCTCTCCATTGGGAATTGGCAGGTATATCTTCCACCTACAATAAATTGCTTTTATATTCTAAATAATATTTTAAAATAAGAAATAATATTAGGGCAGCTAGAGAAGCTATTGACTGTAAGTAGAAAATGTCCTTTCCAAATGCCACTCTAGGTGACTGAAATACAAAAATAATCTGTGACATCACTAGCATGGCCAATAAATATGTCACCTGGCAAAGGAAGGAATGAATACATGTAAATGCGGTTCTTAATTTAGCTTCCATGTGAACCATGGCACACAGAAAAGGGAAGGATCAAATGGAGGCATCACATGCAAAGACCAATCTGTTGAACTAGTAAGTGAAAAACCCCAACTGTATATTGCATAAGACAGCATCAGATTTTCTGTTTTGTTTTAGGAAAGAAATTGGAATGGCAGATATAACTTTCACTTATCCGGAAGACCAAAAAGTGGTTAACAGTGCTCTTGCAGCCCATGGATAAGTATGTGTGTTGTGGTACAGTTCTAGGTTCACAGCTGAACAGCAGTCTATTCACCATGGTCTCTCTGAGCATCATAATCTGTATTTCCAGTGATCCTTGCCAAGAATTTATTATTTTAGATATTATTGGAAATACAGAATGGGGAATAATGGGAGCAAGGATCTTGGGGGTCCTGTATCCAGCTGAGACCCTGCTCAGTTTAGTAGAGGTCAAGAGAAGAGCCAATACTCTCTTTTAGTTACCTTTTTTTTTTAATTATAAGTGCTATTTGATCATGATGTATCTGTGTTATCATCCTAAAGAATTACATAGAATTTTTTTTTGTTTCAAGACTTTGCTCTGTGAAAGTTCTGACAAAAGGAGTGGGACAACATATTTCCTTTTTTTTTTCTTCTGATATATAAGAAATTTTCAATCATCTTTTCATGCTGGAGGAACGTGAGAGACTGGATTCAAATCTCATTGGATTATTTATTGGGTCAAAATCCACCAACTTGTGTGTGTGTTGGTGGAGGGGCCAGGTGAGAACTCACACCTCCTGCAGCCTCATGGCAGTACAGAACTCACACGGCCACGTTGGGGCCCACACCAACTAGCTATCAATCAAAAAGGTCCACCTGGTAGCCCACCCATACCATGCCCTCTGGAGCCCCTGATTGGCTACACGACCCCTCACTCTGGCCTGAAGGTCACTGAGTGGTCACTGAGCCAGATGTCCTGCCTGGGAGGGGTGGCCATGGTGGCCAGAGCACATAAATATAGGGGCACAGAGCTTCTCTTTCTCTTCTCTGGCCATCACCATGTGAAGGATTCTGAGCAGTAAGAATTTTTCTTATTTTAATCTCTTTCTTTACTCCTTCTCTCTTCTCTCTCTCTTTATTCCCGTATCTTCTCCTAATTCCTCTTTCTTTCTTTACTCTTTCCTTAATCTCTTGTGGGTAACTTAAAACTGATGGTTTGTATTTCACTAAGCTGGCATGTGTGTTGGGTACTTTAGTGAACTACTTCTGCCTTGGTTGTATGTTACCCCTGTGAACCTTTTGCCAAAATGCCTATTTTCTCACTAAATTAAAAGAAGTCTCTTGGGAAAATGTGTTGACATTTTCTCTTTATGTGACCTCAAGGTTTTAAAGAACTAAAAGGCTTTGCAAAAGTTTGATGGGCGAACTCTTGGAGTCTTAAATATAAGTAAAATGCCTGGGCAGAGTGTGGCTTGACCCAGGACTTTACAAGGAAAAAGTTACTTCCTTAACTGATAGACCAGCAGTTTCTAGACTAGTGATATGAACTTATCCATCCAGTGACAGTCCTATTGTTCTTACAAATTCCAAAAATCTCAGAGGAAATTGTTCATGATAGGAGAGAAGGTTTGAAAATAGTCAGAGATACGAGTCTTTAAGAATTATGAAGCTCAACACCTACATTTTAAGTAGAGGCTTTTATTTGTCTGTGTCATGGTTTGAGATAGTCCCAAAATCCAATTCCCTAGCTCCATTCCCCCTCCCACATCTCAACCTAATGTGAGATGGGTTTTTCCAGACAAAACACCCCAGACTCAAAGTGGGGAAAAGGGAATATATTACAATGACTGTACAAATAAATACCATATCACATTATACATATAATCACAAACTATCTCTACCATGACATATGTATTTACAATGGATCAGATCTCTTCTCCCCTCCAAATAAAAGTCCAGGAGGGAAAGAAGGACAGATCCCTTCCAGTCTCTGAACAGCAGCATCTTCTAAGGCAGCAGGTTTCTTCTCATGCATGCAGCAGCTGTGGCTGGCTTTTCTGCCAGCATCCACGAGGGAGGTATCCAAGCCTCTCTCGGCCCCATCGCCTCACAACTGAGGGGTCTTCCGTGGGCTTCGTAACCCCAGACAAGGTCGTTTCACCACGTCATATCACGAAGACACAGGGGTGTCTTCGTGACGGTCTGGTATCTCTTGCAGGGCCTCTGTGCCCTGTCTCTCAGGCTGCCACCGTGGCAGCAGTGCAAGGGGGGGAGAGCCAAGGTCAACTCCCCCCTCATTCCATCTGGCCGTCCCGATCCAGCTCCGGGACACTCTGAGCTTCTCAGCTTCTCTCTCTCTCCGGTGCTGCATGTCCAAAACTGCTCTCTAAAATAGGAGTCCATGTCCCTCTTCTCCAAGAGGGGTCTCAAGGGAGTTTTGGGGGAGTGTGGTACAGTCTTACCCCCAAGAACTCTGTAGCTCTCAGGCTGCTGGCTCTCCTTTCCTCGGCTCTCCTTCCAGGAGTCTCCTCTGCGGTGTTGCATGTTGTTTCTGCTGCTCCTCCAGTTCAGGTCCTTATCTCTGGCTCTCTGCCACCGTTTCTCTGGTCAGTCCCGGCTGCTGCTCTGTGCCCATGGAGAAAACATCTCCCGGCATACTACAGGCACCTAGCCCAGCTTTATGCTGTTCCAGGTCCCTGCAGCCCCCCAGCCAGAGGCTGGGAGGGGGCCAGAGGCCCCAAGGGGCTCAGAGCCCCTACCTCATGGCTCTACAACGTGGCCACCTCTCCCACAACAACAAAAACTACAACTCTTCTTTTCCGGTCTGGTTGTGGTATGTTTACATTTCTGCAGGAGCGCCCATTGGGCAGAACTTCAAAACTTCCAGGGGTTTCCACCCCTTGGGGTCTACCACTTCTCTTAGCCTCTGGGGAAAACAAGGTCCAAACCACTACAGTCTGCAAGTCAGTTTACGAAGAACACTGAAGCAATAGCTTAGCATCCCACCATGTATACAGTCTGGTTGCTGCCTTGTGAAATACTTGAAGCGTGTCTTATCTCCCATTCCACTCCCAAGTGGTGTATATCCCACAGCTGAAGCTGGAAGCTTTGAAAATAAGAACACCTTTAGATCAGTTGGCAAATGCATGATCCCTGGATTCTCTCTGAAAGATGTTTCTGTAGTTTTTTAAGGTCATCACAAGAAATTCTCTCTGTAGCCCCACCTTTCATTTTAAAAAGTGCTGCTGCTTGATTTTTATAGAAGGGAGATGGGAACTGGCCCGGTTTCCCTCTCTGCAGGTGGCCTTGTACTCCTGCTGAATATTTTGAGTGATAAACAGGAAAAGAAATACACTAAGGATATTGGGTGAAGGAATTGCCACATCAACCCCTATCAATTCAGGGGTATTTCTCTGAATAAAATGTAAACTATAAACTGCAGCCTATTGTCAGATGTTATTATAAGTAACTGTGATGAGAACCCAAATTTTACAAAAAAATCTGTCACTATGTTATTGCTAGTATCTTACTTGTGAACAGTGAAGGTGGAATGTCTAGTTAGATGGAACTAGATGATTGATGTGGGAAGATGAAGCATGCATGAGCAATGATGTTGTTTTGTGATACATGAATGTTAGGAAGTCTTTTGTAAGACGGACAACCATGCAGTTATCAGAGCTGAGTAACTACTGTTTGCTTTTGAGCAGCTTCCATGTGCCTGCTTCTGTGCTTGTAAGGATCTTGTCATCTAATCAGATGAACACTTCCAGTTTAGTTTTATTTTGGTCCTTATTTTGAAGCTATTTTTTAAGAAGTCATGAGCTGCTGGAGATGAGGATGGCTTTAGATATCTTATTGGAACCCTGTTTCATTTTTCTGTGAGTGGCTTTGTCCTCTACGAAAACAACACAGGTACCACTTACCATGGAATGTTTTTAACCTTAATCTGAAGATTTTGTTGGTCTAGAATTTAAATAGTATGTCAACAGAGGAAGCCAGGTCCTCAAATATTAAACACACTCAAAATACTGAGGTGTAAGGAAGTGCCTTTCTTCTTTGGCTCTAAGTATTAGGGTCTTGTTAAAGATTAGAAAATCAGGGGAATTTTTCTTTCCCCTGCCCCGGAGTGGGGGGGGGGGGAGGAGGGGGGAAGGGAGGTTATTAGCATTACAAAAGATGTAGCCAGTCTGGGTTAATGGCCCATTTGGAGAAAGAAAAGGGGGAGGCGGGGAGGCTGGGCTCTGGTCGGGAAGGTGAGAGGCAGTGTGTGCGTGGCTGGCTCTCTGAGGGCAGATAGGCATTTTGTTGGGGAGGGGGACTGGAGGTCTAGTTTTCTTTTGGCTGTTAATCCTGGGGAGCTTGACCTCTCATCCTGCTGGTTCCGACCTACCTGGCTGTCCCGCCCGCCGGAGCTGCTGTGTTTCATCGGAGAGTTTTGCTTGCCCGCGGGAGAGGAGGAGGAGTTTTGAGACGCTGCCACCTGACACTGCAGTGAGTCCTCGCCACTTGAGACGGCTGTGAGTTCCCATGGGAGTGTGCTACCTGCCTTTCTTTCGCCCCCCACGGAGGCGGGGACCCCCCCATCTCCTTCTCGGCTTCCCCGCGCGGTCCGGGACCGCCCTCTCTGGTCCCCCTCTTCCCGCCGGTGACTGCCGGAGCCCACAGCGCCCCCTGCCGACCACGACCGGGTACTGCAGGTCCTACAGCTTCCAGCGGTCCAACAGCGCCCCCCGCCGACCACGACTGGGTACTGCAGGCCCTGCAAATTCAGCAGCCCAACAGCGCCCCCTGCAGACCGCAATTAGGACTGTGCTAAAGGACAGAGAAGCATTCTTCTAGACTTGTTGTTGTGGTTGTTGTTGCTGTTGTCATTTTGTTTTGTGTTACTGGTTTTTTGCCAACATTCATATACTTCTTTTCTTTTAATAATAAAGGGTTGTTATTTCTTCTGTTTTTCCACATTTTCCTCGAGTAAAGCCCCTTAATTTGATAGTACAATTGCAGAGAGAGAGGAGTTTGGTCTACCTCACAACTCATCCTTTTTAGCAAACAGTCTAGTCTCTTTAGACTGAGACAGGTCTTTGGAATGAAGTTGAAGTAACTCAATACAGTTATGACATTTCTCGCACCGCAACCTTTGTTTGAAGCAGGAAACTGATGAGCATTTGAACATGTGACCGTCTTGCATATGATGTTTTATAACCTCAGTGGAGAGAAGCTTTAGTAAGCTGTGCTTGAAAAACCTTTTTTTGATATCTGAAAATGGAAGAGCCAAAGAAAGATTAAAAACAATATTCCACAAGCTTCATCTTGCAGGCTTTAATAAAAAGTTGAGATGAAAGAGAGCAGATGTATTTATCTTTTTACTTAGCAGCAAAAGTACAAATCAGCTTCATATAAACAGATATCTCAGCCAAATATGGCTTGACAGTAATTCTATAAGATTCATCAAGTCAAGGGA